AGTGGTAATGTGCTCAGTAAAATGTGCCGTCAGTGAGAACGCATTCCTGGTTTGTTCTATTTTTAGATAAAGAAATCATGTTATTACATATAAAGTGATTTCGCATTACGCATATTGAAATGAAGGCATTCCAACAAAACAATGTCAAAAGATTCCGCACCTATTCAAAAACAACTAACACCTCAACGTTCCTCTGGTTACGAAAATTCTCTCATTACAGTCATTTTATAGCATTTCTATGCAAGTGTCAAAGCAAATTCAAAGCTGTTCTCGAAGCTGACGTTGCAATCATGAGAAGAAGCAATCGTCATTGACGCTATCCGAACGATTTTATTGCGAAAGATCGTTTTGAAGATATATCAAATGCATCCAACAACGTCATTATTCCAATGATTGTTTTTTCCCTCTTCACCGATTGCTCTCATTTACCCACAAACGAAAGTCTGATGGACGTGAACGATGAAGATCTGTTCAACGATAGCGATGAACGATATTAATATTTCGTTTTCGCGAGAAAATTTGAGCTATAATCCATTGAATTGAATTTCGAATCTTGAATTGAATTCTTGCAATTGCTCGTGAAAATCGGTCTGCTATTAAACAAGAGTGGATCCATCTAGAATATCACTTTATCAGCCATTGTATCCACAATCTGTCACAACAATGCCGTTTAACTTCTCAAGAACACACGTCATTTGTCTTCCGCTGCATCTAATTCAATATAATAGGTTAAATCACACGTTCATCTCACCTTCCGTTCTTTGCTATGGACGGTTGTATGTTAGCGATGTAATCAAATGCATATTGGCGATCATCCTTCAATACCTCACCGCCATTCACAATTTCATTCGAATGAACTTTTGTAACACCTCTTTCAGTAGCCTTCAATGATGCGTTGTATTGACAGCAGCGAAGTGCTAGGCTGAAAATGGCTTAAAATTACATTTTGATACGCAATAACCTAATGCACCTACAAACGGAATGGACATAGAACGTAGCANGGCTTAAAATTACATTTTGATACGCAATAACCTAATGCACCTACAAACGGAATGGACATAGAACGTAGCAGACTGAACTCTACTCAATTACCAACGAGAATTTTTAGATTGAGCTATTTCTGGCTCTCGTATGAAAACTGATAGATACTCAGCCATTCATTCTAACCAAAACAAAAACATCAACGGAGTTAGGCTATAAAGTTGGCTAAGGAGAGCCTACAGTTCTAAAAATATTTAGCAACAAATAATTTATTGAGACCCTCATCGTCCGCCAACTGAACAATTGTTTTGCAACAGTGATCCATTAATGTGTAAATTTTTATTGAATAGATTTTGTCTTGATCTCAGTTTCAATCGCTGCATTCAGCGGACTTTTGTTGAGTGCAGCATATGATTACATAACAGACGTCCAGAACCAAAAAACTTACGGTTCACCGGGTACATCCACAGCCGGTCCAATTCCTCCAACCCATTGATTATCTCCATCACAGGAAAAACTTGAATATCCTGGTTCACAAACCTGAAACATCAAATTAAGTCAGGAATTAGAGTAAAGGGGAAGAAATGATGTTGACAAGGCTTTTGTGAATTGATCATTGAATTTTTTGTGGTTGAACTGCGAGATAACTAATAACAGTGAGATTGATTTAGATCAGTATCCGATGAAGATGTATATCACTTTAAAATGAATATGAAACATTCGGAAGCGAACCGAAATGTGAGCTACGTCTCTGCCAGCACGATGAATTTGTCGTAAGTGATCAGCATCGCGTTCCCTCAAAAATCCGTCACTTATGTTATTGATTCTGAAAGTGTTAAGGTCTCTGTCGCAACGGTGTTGACAAAATTAAATGAGAAATTGCAACAAGATGGTACATTCGAATTGCAGTTGATGTGAAGAGTATAAAAGCAATAATCTAAAATAGCAACTACCTATAAAACCACGGAAGATCTGTAGCCTCTTTAACGGTGTCTGCCCATCCAAAGCAAGATGNCAAGAAGAGGCTGTCCACCTGGAAGAACCTAAAGAAAGAAATTTCTGACAGTTGCTCTTGCAGCCACAAATGACTGAAAACTGACTTTTATGCTTTTACTGACTGAAAACTGACTGAAAACTTTATGTACAAATGACTAATCGTGCTTTTTGTGTTTTTCTGCCCAACGTGAATTGCAGCACTGGTTCTTTGATAACTATTTACATTTGGTATAAAATTGTAAGGTAGATATGTAACGAACCTTGAAACTAAATGGAACTGTATATTGTCCACAATATGAAGCAAACAGAGGAGCAGCACTAAAGAGCAGAAACCAAATAGGGGTGCACCTCATTGCAGATACTGAAACTGAATGGTGAGCAGGTGAAAGTGAAATGAATGAACGTTGCGCTCGTTGAACGTTATGATTGAAACAATGTTGCAGATCAGATGTTTCGAGGTCATCGTATGCATAAAAATGCGTCTGATTGATGGAAGAAAACAATTGAAACAATTATGCAGAACGTAGAATTGAAATTGAAATTTAAGACAATCAAACAATTGAAACATTTCGTTTTCTTATGATACAATCCACTCAGAAACAATTGTATAGCACTGTTATGTTTCATTGCTTTCTGATGACTTCAAAGTCATTAGAAGGCCATGAAAGTCATTCTAATTCCTGGATTGATTACGATCCTACGAAGCAATATTTAGTGATAATGCTAAAAAATGATATTTATCATCACAGATTACTTCAAACTGTCACGAGTGGTTCGACAAATTCGATCGAAAAGTCAGCTTTTATTTCCATTTTCACCAATTGAAGAGGCTCTGTGAACTTCATTCGGCTAATTTTTTTGCGGTGAATGCAAGTATGAAACCACAGCGCGAAATTCTTATAATTATGTGCAGATTTACGCAATCATAACAAGAAATCGGCTCAAGAAATATATCTGTGCCACTGATATCGATATCGAATATCTGTTAACAGAAAAGAGAACGTTCAACGCCCACCACTTGAACGACAATAGATCGTCGAATCGCATGTTGTATTTGTTGATGTTGTTCGGTTTAATGTTAATCTTTTTTCATT